TCCACCACTTTTTCATGTATTTCTGCTTTCTCGATTGACCCTGAATGAGGAACTAAGGGGGCCTTGGGAGGATTTGTATTAAAGGAATCGTTTGGCAGCACACTACTTGTTGCGTCCCGCGAGGAGCAAAGTGAGTGTTCTTTGCTCGGTGGGTCTGGCAGCTGCTTGCTACCGCCCCCCAGTTTTCCTTCTCCCTCCTCCTCCTCCTCCTCCTCCTCTTCCTCGTCCTCATAATCAGGGAGTAAACCGAGTCCCGAAAGCTTACTGGGGGTCGCTCTCGCTGACTCCTTTCCCGTTTTATCAAGGGTGGTGGACGATGTGGAGGGCTGTACCTGAGGCGGCTTGGCTCTCTTGGCATCCGGGTTATCAGTGTCCGGCGCTTTCCTCTTTGTGGACTGAAGCGCCGCGCCGGCAGCCGGAGCTGGGGTGCCACCTTTTGCGCCTTTCAGCTCTGCCACTTTTTCTCGGTGCTGCTTTCCCAGGACGTGGGTCTGCCACAGAAGCTCGCTCTTGACCGGGGTGTTACAAAGGGCACAACTCAGCTGCCCCAAAGGGTTGTATTTAGCGAATGGAGATTCTACCTTCTTGCGGTTAGTGCTCTGCCGCTGCTTCTCCTTCATCAACCGTCTCAGTTCTTCCTGATTCACCACTCTCTTCCCAGCCGGAGTCTGAGCGGAGGTGGAAGACGCCATCTTTGCGACCAAACCTAAAGTGATTTGGGTTTCAGTCAGGGCGCGGTATGATGGCGTCATTTCCAGTCTTGGCGCCGATTGGCTGAAGGTCTAGAGAGGGGCGTGGCTCCAGGGTTTCCTCTTCAAAACTGCTAGGAAGTCCGATTGCGCCCGCGACCGTTAAGCTATGGCTGCGATCAAGGTGGTCAACTCCAAGGCTGAGGTGGCCCGGGCCCAGGCGGCCTTGGCTGTGAACATATGCGCCGCCCGAGGCCTGCAGGATGTGCTGAGGACCAACTTAGGTCCAAAGGGCACCATGAAAATGTGAGGCGGTGGTTAAGGCGTCTGCTGTGTTTGGGGTTCCGAAATGGGCGGGCGTTTCGCGGAGACGGTTGAGTACTGGGGACGCACCTGTGGGCCCGTTTCCCTTGCTCATTGCTGCCCTGAGGGCATTTTTAGCCTGGTGGGGGTTGGAGAAAAGTCTGCTCGAGGAAAAGGACCGCGGAACCTTGACAGACTTCCGTCCTTTTTTCGTTAGGCGGTTGGAAAGCCAGTTCTTTTAAGGCATTTAACACCCACCCCCCCACCCCTATTGATGGCCAAACCCCGAGCCTGGTGTACACTAGGCACTTTACCACAGAGTTGCAAACCACTTCCCCATTCCTCTACTTTTTGACGCTACGTGGCCTTAGTCTTGTAGCCCTCCCCCTCCCCCCTTCCATATCCATGCTAGGTATGGAAGCTTAGGGCTCTGCACATGCTGGGTACCTGCTCTATCATTGAGCCTCATCACCAGCGCAGTACAGATACATAATTTTGTTTTTGCGAGGTAGTATGTTGTTGTGGAAACAAAACGAGCTTTGGAGTCAGGCAGACATGAGTTCAAATCCAAGTTGCATAAGTAGTTGTTAATGAACATTAATCTTTAGTTGGTAACATGAGGCCTACAGTGGGTTTTTCTATTTTGGTTGTAACTGTCGTTGCTTCTTGGTTCTCTGGCCTGTTCTTGGACCAACCCAATGCTCTTCAGCTTCCACAATCTTCTGAAAGATTGTGAACCTTGATCTATACTAATCCAAACTTTGTTGGGGGCCAGCCAAATAGCTCAGCGGATTAAAGCAGCTACAAGCAGGTGCAGGGACCAGGGTTTATATCCCCGGCCTGCTGTGCTGGTGGCCCCATCCCCAGGGCGTGCTGAGATGGCAGTTGAGCCTGGGCATGGCAGTGCGTGCCTGTAATCCCAGCACTTGGGAGGCTGTAAACAGAAGAATCAAGAGTTGGATCAAGAGTGAGACCCTAAACACCCTGTAGACCCTTCCCTAAAATTAAAAAAAAAAAAAAAAAACTTGGTTGGAATGTATTTAGTAGGGTTAAACACACACACACACACACACACACACACACACACACACTTTAGCTCTTGGGGAAGACATTTGACTGCCTTCTAACACCTCTTCATTTTTATTGTATCACATTTAGGAGATTATTTACGCAAGAGGGAAAGAGACTGATGAAAGCTAAAGGGAATAAGAGACACCCTGACAGGAAATAGAAAACTAATATTAATGGTAAAAGAGGGCATGTATACAATAGATACTAGAAAAAGATAACCAAGAGCTATTCTTGAGCAGAACTGGTGGAGACAGATGTGCTAATTACATAATACATAGATGCATATGATTATACTGAGGAAAAAGACTATTGATGGCAAAAGGAAAAGCTCTCCAGTAAGATGATGTTTATCATAGTCTTGAGAAGAGTGAGGGCTGGGTTTAGTGGCACATACAAACAATCCCAAGTGCTTGGGAGGCCAGTGCAGGGGGAATCACTGTGAGTTGAAGACCAGCCTGGGCTACATAGAGATCCTGTGTCAGAAAGCCAACCAACCAAACAAGAAAGAAGAAAAGACAGAAATAAGGGCCACCTAGCTAATTTCTCTCTCTCTCTCTCTCTCTCTCTCTCTCTCTCTCTCTCTCTCTCTCTCCCCCTCCCCCCCTCCCTCTCTCTCCCTCCCTCTCCTTCTCCCTCTCTCCCTCTTTCTCCCTCTCTCCCTCTTTCTCCTTCTCTCTCCCTCTCTCTCCCTCTCTCCCTCTCTCCCTCTCTCTCAGTTTTTGAGATAGGGTCTCACTATGTAGTCCAGGTCTGGCCTTGAACTTGCAGCAATCCTCAGCCTCCCAAGTGATAGGGTTACAGGCATGTGTCACCATACCTGGCCTCCTAATTTCAGTAATAAAGCCAATGATATAAATCCCAAGGGGAGGGTGGGTGGGGGAGAACTATGGTGCATTAAGGGAGCCAAAGGCTTGCTTGTGGGAGGGTGGTGAGGCAGGAAAGCTAAACATAGGCTAGAATGGTAAAGGTCAAGTATATCATTGTTAAATTAATTTGGATTTTAACTTGAAAGCAATTAACAGCATAAGATTTATCACTTAAGGATTTTTGCCCAGGAAACTGAGTCATGTTGCATTTTTTGTTTGCTATGAAGTCCAGGCTGGCCTCCTGTCTTAGCCTCCTGAGTGCTGGGATTACTGATATGCATCACCACACCCAGGTTGCATTACCTTAAAAAAAAATGTACTGTAAGGGTGGAGTCAAACTTGTAGATACCTGGGATGCTGCCTTAGAGATGATGATGACAGTGGGAGTGGAAAGAAGGGATTAAGATTCAGAGAAATTGAGATTGCAGAGCTGACAGGGTTTGGTAATCTAATTAAATATGAGGAGAATTAAATTGAGTGAATGATTGATAGCATTTGTCAAAGAAAAAAAAACCAAGAAATTTGCAAGTTTGTGTTGTATATACTCTTCTTTGATCAATGTTCATAACTCATCAACTGCTACATTTGGAATGAAATCACTGTAAGTCCACCTGGGGAGAAGTTCAGTGAGCTGCAAGTAGTGATACTTGCCGAGCTATCTCCCCATGGTGTGATGGATGTTTTCCAAGCCCAGTTTGCTGTTTTAAGGGAAGTGGAGTGTCTAGCTTGGCACTTGCCAAATGAAGTTAATAACATCACTGTTCCCTGAACAGGCTTGTTTCTGGTGCTGGTGACATCAAGCTCACAAAAGATGGCAATGTGCTGCTGCATGAGATGGTGAGCAGATGCTGCTGACTCTAATGAACCTTAGTAAGCCTTAAGAACATGGTACATGGGCCGGGGAAATAGCTCAGTGGCCTATGTGCCTGGCTGGCAAGCACAAGGTTTTGAATTTGATCCCCAGTACCACAAAAAACAACAAAACAAAACAAAAACAAGCAAAAAACCATGGCATTATTTGTATATCTTTAAGTCAACGCTGTTAGCTAATCACTGCAGTCTTGTGCTAGGCTTCTTTGATTAAACTTTGATAAAAATGATTTTTGGCTATTTTCAAATGTTTGTAGAGTCCACATAATAGCTTAATAATGTCTTTTAAAGACTGCATTATATTCTTTGTAGTCATGGAAAAATAAAAAATTAGCAGTTTTCATAAATGTATTCAACTTTGAGATGGAAAGATTTAATCTTTTTTGGAAATGTCATTGCATTCTGAAGCAAAGACTTATGAAATGTTCAAACCTCATTAGTTTTCAGTTTTGAAATTCCAGACTTGACATTTATTAAGTATTGATAATGTAAGACTTGTAAACCTGTGGAGTGAAGCTTATTTCATTTCTAATTTCACTATTGACCCTTAGGTTATCTTGTTTTTTGTGGCCTTAAAAAAAAAAAAACCCACCTCATTCCTCTCTCTTTAAATCTGTTGTTTACTTTTTCAGCAAATTCAACATCCAACAGCTTCCTTGATTGCAAAGGTAGCAACTGCCCAAGATGACATTACAGGAGATGGTACCACTTCAAATGTTCTAATTATTGGAGAGTTACTAAAACAAGCTGATCTTTACATTTCTGAGGTATTACAATTTCACACAATTCATATTATGTTATGAATTTTTTTACAATAAAAGACACATTTTTTTTTCCAGTACCAGGGATTGAACTCAGGACTCTGCGCTTGCCAAACAAGCACTTAGTTTACTGAGCTATCTCCCCAGCCCTATTATGAATTTTTTAAAAAATTATAGGGCCAGAGAGATAGCTCAGAAGACCAAGTGTGTGCTTAGGCAAGCACAGGGACCTGGGTTTGATCCCTAGCACCACATATGCCCTGTTGGCCCTGCCCCCAGATGTGCTAGCCAGAACCGAGTCTGGGCATGTTTGCACACACCTATAATCCTGGTGTGCTGAGGAGGGTGAAAACAGGATCACTATGAGTCTGAGCTGCATGTTGAGACCCTGTACCAAATACATAAAGGATTTAAAAATAAAACATTTAAGGTATATTAAAAGGTAAAAATTACCCATATACCCATGAGTAATGGATGAAGAAACAAAATGTTATTGATAAAATTGAAACAAGATTATACACTTTTTGAAAAATAACTGGGGAAAACTTATTGACTATTTTGCACATTGAGAATTTATCTACCTCGTTAGCTTTATTTTCATTTGTAAATCACCTATTTTAGTCAGAGTCCTCCATTTAGCAGACTCTGAAATCATTAAGCACATTTATGCCTTTTTGTTTTGTTCAAAGTGTATTCTTTTCTTGGCGTTGATTATCTCTTTTCTATAATTATTTGAAATTTTCTTCTTATTCAGGGGCCGTTTCAGGAAAGCATAACCTGGTCAAAATACTAAAATATTATTTCTTTTTGTTTCATTTTGTATTGGGAATTGTCTGTTAGTTCAGTACCAGCAATTTATCTTGGTTAGACTGCTTTTAACTGTAAGCAGAAGCAACTTGACTAAAACACAGTTAAACAATAAGGGAATTATCTCCCATAACAGAACATTAAGCAAGGTCTGGGATTGGTGAATTTGAAAGTTCAGTGAGTTACAAAGTACTGCAGTCCCTCTGTCTCTTAATTCTGAATGCTCCCAATACTGTTCCATCCTAAGGGTTGTTTTCATCTTAAATGTTAAGATTGTCAGAGGAAATCAGTGCTACTTGCTTCCTTTGATAATAATACTTAGCAGGGAGAAGCAAGAGAAAACTGTTCACTGAACTATGGAACCTAAATCCTTTCTGTAACATGGATGCCTGTCCTCGTGTCTTATGCCCATCCTAAACAAGTGGTTAAGAAAATCCATAGACCTATAATGAGGATTTACTCCTTTAGTTGGAGGATTTGGTTACTTTTCTCTGAAACACAGGTGGAAGAGGGACACTTGGACAAAATCAGGGTTGGGTTAAGAAGAGAGGAAGAGAGGAGTTGGGAAGCATGAGGTCCTGACAGAAATGGATATAATCACAATCTATGTGGGTGGATAAAGATAGAGCTTTGTACAAGATAGGATAGAAATCCTGAGGAGGGACAGGTATACATCTGTGGCAGTTGGAAGCACTCACTGGAGGAAGTAGACTTGAGCTAAATCTTTAGGCTGGAGGAAACCAGGTTAAAGAGTGGACGATGATAACAGCGGTCCCAGAAGCAGGGGCAATGTGGTATTCCTTGTGACAGAAGCACATCAATGTTGAGTTTAAAGTGATGTGGACAGTAGTAGGGAAGAAGCTGGAGAAACAGGTGGGAGACAATCAGAGAGTGTGTGTATCCAAGAAACTTGCACTTTATGCCATGGGGACAGGTTAAACATATCAACACAGTAAAGATTATTGTGGTCAAATTGGCATTTGAAATATTTGGGGGCATTGTGTTTTTGAGCCAGGGTCTTGCTATGTGGCTCAGGCTGGGCTTGTACTCTGCCAGACTGTCCTTGAACTTGGGGCGATCCTCTTGCCTCAGCGTCCTCTAAGTGTTGGGATTATAGGTAGGCTTCAAGGAAACTTTTGGAAGTAGTAGTAGCATGGCTCTGAAGCCAGGTTTTGTGAGGGTAAATTCTTCCTCCACTTCTTGCCCTGCTGGTCTAAGGCAAATTACACTGTCCCTTTAGATTTTGGTCTCCTCATGCATGAAACAGGAATAGCAACACCCACTTTATAATGTTGAGAGGATTAAATTAAATGATTCATGTAAAAACTATTCTAGAAAAGTACCCAGCACAAATTTTTTTTTTTTTTTTTTTTTTTTTTAAGACAGGGTCTCCTTCTATAGTTCAGGCTGGCTTTGAGCTCGCTTTGTAGCCCAGGCTGGTCTCAAAATTCACAATGATCCTCCTGCCTTAGCTTCTCGAGTGCTGGGATAACAGGCATGGGACCAACTATTCAATTAATGACAACTTTTCAGTATCATTTTAGGTATAATACAAAAGAATGGAAGGAATTAATTGGACCTTGTGCTAGCTTTCACAAAGTTTATGTATTTTGCAGAATAAATAATACTATTTTAAAAAATTTGTTTGAGCCGAGTGTGGTGGCACATGCTTGTAATCCCAGCACTCGGTAGGCTGAGGCAGGAGGATGGTTGCAAGTTTGAGATCAGCCTGGGCTACAAAGTGAGCTCAAGGCCAGCCTGAGCTGCACAGTGAGACCCTGTCTCAAAAAGACAAAAGTTTTAGATCTGTAGAAAATTTGTAAGAGTATTACAAAGAATTATATATTTTTAGCCACATTTCTTGCTATTTTCTACCTATTGTCTTTCTGTGATATATAGATAATATATATTAGTGTACATATCATTTTCTGAACGGTATCAGAGTAAGTTGCAGAAATGATGAAGCACTTCAGTATGTTTTTAATCACTGAATTATATAACCATATATTTATATCAGTATATAAAATAGGAACTTAATATTAACAGTGGCATATTCATATAGCACTTTAAAAAATTTAATTACTTTATTTGATACAGGATCTTGCTACACAGTTCAGCCTCGTAGTGATCCTCCTGTCTCAGCTTCCCCAGGGCTGGGATTACAGGTGTGCACCACCACACCCAGTTTTGGGGCGGCACAGCACAAGGTACTGGGGATCGAACTTGGGGCCTTGTACTTGCCAGGCAGTTTTGACTGCTGAGCTATCTCTCCAGCCCTAACACTTTTTTTTTTTTGAGCCAGATTCTCATTGTGTAGTGCAGGCTAACCTTGAATTCACTTATGGTTTACTATTTTTTGGTACCAGGATTGGAACTCAGGACCTTGCTCTTGCCAGGTAGTAAGTACTGTACCAGTGAGCTATATCCTCGGCCTTTTGTGCTTGCCAGGCAGGCACTTATGTCACTGAGCTACATGTCTGGCCCTTATCCTTGGCCCTTTGAACTCACTTACATAACCCAGGCTGGCCTTGAACTCATGGAAGTCCTCCTTCCTCAACCTCCCAAGTGCTGGGATCACAAGCATCTGCCACCATGTCTACCTATAATACTCTTGTCTAATCTGCAGGTTTCAGTCAGATATTACCACTTGTTCCAATAGATTGATTGATTGATTCCATACTGGCAATTGAAACCAGAGCCTCACACTGAACTGTATACTAGCATTTTTAAAAAATGTATTTAGTACAGGGTCTTCAGGGTCTCAGTACACAGATTTAGACTTGTAGTGATCCTCCTGTTTTCAGCCTCCTAAGCAACCAGCATTATTATTATTATTATTATTATTATTATTATTATTATTATTATTATTTGCAGAACCAGGGATTGAACTCAGGTCCTTGCGCTTGCCAGGGAAGCGCTTATTCCACTGAGCTGTCTCCCCGGCCCCAGCATTATTTTTTTTGTTTTGTTTTTTTTTTTGGCGGAACCAGGGATTGAACTCAGGCCCTTGCGCTTGCCAGGGAAGTGCTTATTCCACTGAGCCATCTCCCCAGCCCTCCCAGCATTATTTTTTAAGACAAGATTTTATTAAGTTGCCCAGGCTGACCTTGATTTTGCAACCTTCTTTCCTCAATCTTCCCAGTAGCTGGATTACAGATGCATATCACTGTACCCAGCATATAGTATTCTTTGCAGAAATAGAAAATTTAGGATTGTGAATTGCATTGTTATCATGTTCCTTTAGTCTCCTATAAGCTGAAACAGTTCCTAAACTGCCTTTATGTGTCATGACATTGCTACTTTCAAGGAGTGTAAGCCATTTATTTTGCAGAGGCCCTTAATTGGCTTTGTATCTTTCCTCACAATTAGATTCACTTTTTGAGCTTTGTGAGAGGCACCACAGAAGTGTTGCTTCGTTGTTCTGAAGGCCTCCTATCGGGAGACACATGGCGCCCTCTGTCCTATCACTGTGATGTTAACTTTGATCACTGCTTGGAGGTGGTGTCTGTCCACCACTTTTCTCTAAATCAATGCTCTTTCTTTCTGCTACATTGAAGGGAGTTTTTTGTGTCCATTCAGGACACCACATGACTATGTTATCATAATTTTTAGGACAAAGACTTGTAATTTTTTTTGTACCAGACCTGCAGCTTTTCTATTTGATTTGATTATTTCAAATAAGAAGCACTGGAAACCAACTTTTATAAATTAAACACATGCTCACATTTAGTAACATTAATGTAGATAACATTATTTTTTCTTTTTGACATGTAGGGTATGTAATCCAGTGCAAGGCTTTGTGTTTAATCCCAGAACTGGAAAAAACAAACAAACATAGAATACTATTGGAACAGGCAGTGAAATTGGCAGGTTAGAAAATGGATTATATGACTATGTCAAGGTTAATATAAATTACACTGTGGTTTTTATGTGGGAATTCCTTGACTTTAAAATGGGAGAGGATAATTATCTTTACTTTGGATGGTTTTCGTTACAGTTTACAATTTTGCATTGGTTTAATAGGGTCTGCACCCTAGAATAATAACTGAAGGATTTGAAGCTGCAAAGACAAAAGCACTTGAAGTTTTGGAGGCAGTTAAAGTAAAAAAGGAAATGAAAAGAGAAATCCTCTTAGATGTAGCTAGAACATCTCTGCGAACCAAAGTTCATGCGGAATTGGCTGATGTGTTAGTAGAGGTATGGATTAAACTTTTTTTTTTTTTTTTTTTTCTTTTTTTTGGTGGAACCAGGGATTGAACTCAGACCTTTGCGCTTACCAGGGAAATACTTATTCTACTGAGCCATCTCCTCAGCCCTGGATTAAACTTCTATATCCAGAATGAGTACAGCTTAACACATGTGGTATTTTTATTTTTACTATAAGGATAGCCAAGCAGTACCACATGGGATTCTTTTAAATGTAAAAACAAAATAAGACAAACACTTAAGTGTAGGTGAAGATCTGATTGGTTAAAATAGTATTTGTAACTGTTCCAAGAGCGTCATATTGACATTTAGTGTCATGAAAGCTCAGAGAGGCGTGGCTTGTAGCCCGTCTCCTGTGGAAGCTATGGGTTCAGCAGTCCATATTTTGTTAGATGAGGTAATGCATGCGGAAATTGTTTGGCAGTGTGCCTTAAAGTCTAGCTTACCAGTTTAATGACACATTCTTTTCATTTTTTATTTTTTAAAAATGTATTTAGTACAGGGTCTACAGGGTCTCATTACACAGATGGGACTTATAGCGATCTTCCTGTTTTCAGCCTCCCAAATGCTGGGATTACTACAGGCGCGCACCACCACGCCCACACTCAGTTGCTGTCTCAGCACACCCGGGGGCGGGGCCAGCACTAATGATGCATTATTGATTTGACATTATAGTATTCACATTTAAGAAATGCTTATTTTTTTTGCTTTTAAAGGTAGAATAGATGTAATAAAAAGACAAGATTGGATGGATATTTTAAAGATTTTTATCAGATTGTTATCGTTGATGATGTCATTCTTATTCCTCAGTTTTTCAGTTTCTGAAAATTGAATGCATCACTTTATCAGGAATGATGAATTCATAGCAACAAAATGCATCAGACATTGACATACGAAGCAGAATGTTATTAATTTACTTGAGAAATACAAATGCCAAATGGACTGGAACATCTGAGTTATTTCTGCTCAATTCTCCTTACCAATAGAGGAACCTTCCTGGGAAATTAGATTTATATCAGACAATTTCTTGCTGAGCAGAATCAGAAGAAAGCTTGCTGTGTTTTCTGCTGTTGAAATACTCAGGTGGCCCGAGATCTTCATGCTCTCTGACTAGGACAGATATTTTCTTTTAAAGGCTAAAAATCTCTGATAATCTTACTACCCACTGGCCTTTGTATTAGTCCCCTAGGTAAACTTTTCTTAAGACACAGTGTTTTTTTTTTTTTTTTTTCTCTATCTTTTGAGGTGGTTATACTTTAGCTCTTAATTTCTGTGATGTTATTTTCATATTCTTTTTTGAGCTAAGCAGTAAGATATGGGTGTTTTGTTTCTTAAATTACATATTCTTGGAGATATGTGGAATAATAACTGCGACATGGCTTTCTGGAGTGTCAATTTTACTTTACAGTTTTGGGGGAAACAAAAACAGTGAAAAAATATGTGTATGTTGTAGCATGACACAAGAGCTTTCAATGATAAAATATGAGACTTAATAATTGAAACATATCATGACCAACAAATTTGAGCTCTTCTCTTAGATTACATTTCTTCTCTCTTCATCAATTGAAGTGTTCTTTCATGGAAAAGCTGGGTAGCATTGGTATGATAGAACAGTGGTTGGCAGTTAAGGAGACTAAATTCTAGTCCTGGCTCTGCAACTGTGAGACCCGATTTTAAATTGATAACGAACCTCCTAAGGTCTTGTGCCAGTTTTGTTATTTTTAAAACAAAGGTTTGGGGCCTGATAATTGTGAAGTTAGACTCGAAAGTGTTCACTGTTGTTTTAAAAATTAGTTTCCATACTAAGTGGCACTTGTAGGCTTTGCCTTATGTTTTGAAGCCTGAAGCCCTTTACCTGAGTAGTCTGGCGATGACTGTGAGGACCAACTAATTTACTCTTCTCATTCGCTTCCTTTTCAGGCTGTGGTGGATTCTGTTCTGGCTATTAGAAGACCAGGTTATCCTATTGATCTCTTCATGGTGGAAATCATAGAGATGAAGCATAAATCAGAAACAGATACACAGTAAATTGCATACGTTTGATAAGATCAGTTCTAGAATGTTTGCTTTTCTTTACCTGTTCTTTCATTAATTTCATTAGTTAGGGGGCTGGGGAGATGGCTCAGTGGAATAAGTGCTTCCCTGGCAAGTGCAAGGGCTTGAGTTCAATCCCTGGTTCCACAAAAAAAAAAAAAAAATTCATTAGTTATTTTTATTCAACATCAATCTGTTCATTCAGCATACATTAGTGGGTGATTACTATGGATACTGGAATGAAGAATAAACAAAACAGTTTCTTTCCCCTAGCAGCTTACATTCCTAATGGGACTAGATAATTAATCCTCTGTGTGATTTTTGTAGTGCTCAGGGAAGGCTATTGTTATAAGAAACAAAGCTATAAAGCTAAGAGGTCTCTGAAGAAATCAGGGATCTACCCATGTGTGTGGAAATAGAGGTTCTAAGTAGCGAGGGCAGCAGTTGGGCAGGTTCTGAGGCAGGCGTGTGCTTGGGGTGTCCGACCATGTTCCTGTCCACTGCAGCATGGGTGAGAGGAAAAAGTGGTGGGATGTAAGGTCAGCAAATAAGAGAGGCCAGAGTATGTATCTCGATAAGGATTTAACTAATTTTATTTTATTACCATTTTTTATGTAGTTGGTACAAGGTCTTGCTGTGCAGCTTGGACTCATAGTGATCCTCCTATTTTAAGTCTCCCTAGTTCTGGGATTACAGGTGTGCATCACCATGCCTAATCTCAGTGGCCAGCTCAGCATGCGGCGGGGAGGGGAGGGCTGGTGCAGCATGTGGTGCTGGGCATCACACACCCTGGTCCCTGTGCTTGCTTAAGTGGGCGCTTAATCTGCTGAGCTATCTCACTGACCCTTAGGCTTTAACTAATTTTATTTATTAAAATATATTTATTTATTTATTTATTTGATACAGGGTTTTACTATGCAGCTTGGACTAGTAGTGATGCTCCTGTCTAGCACCCCCCCCCCCGAGATTATAGGCTTGCACCACCATGCCCTGTTTTAGTGGCCAGCACAGTGCAGGGCTGGCACAGAGTGTGGTAATGGGGATCGAACCCGGGTCCTTACGCTTACCAGGCAGGTGCTTAGACCACTGAGCTACTCCTCAGTCTGCTTTAACTAATTTTAAACTTTCTATTGTGGAAGATCATAAACATATATAAATATAAGGAAAGGAAAGTAGGAAACTGCCATGCATGCGTCACTTGTCTATCAATTTTAATGTATCGTATCTCTACTATACTCCTCCTTTTTCCTCCCAACCTGAATTATTTTGAAACTAAACTAGGCATATTTCACCTATATTTTACTATTTATAAATAAAGATATTTCTTACTCTTTTACCTAATATGTTTAAAAATATTACATCTAAAAATGGGTAATAAATGATTAATATCATCACATACTCAATTTGTATTCCAATTTTAGTAATTGATTTTTTAAAGTTAGTCTTGTTTTGATTAAGATCCAAATACAGTCTACATATTGCATTTGATTTATATCTTTTTTTTTCTTTTTTGGTACTTTTTTCTATTTTGGTACTGGGGCTTGAACCCAACATTTTTGCACTGAGATACACCCACAGTCCCCTTTTTATTTCAAGATGAGATTTATTTCAAACTTGCTGAATTGCTCAGGTGTGACTTGAACTTGTGTTCCTCTAGCCTCAGCCTCCCACAGTGTTGGAATTACAAGCGTGCACCACCACACCTGCCTGGTTGAAATCTTTTAAGCCTCTGTTACTTTGTAGGTTCTCTTTTCTTCTGATGCTAATTGATAATTGTATGGAAGAAGTCTGGTCGTCGTGATGTCTTCTGGTACAAAGAATCCTGATTATTTGCACTGTAGTGCAGCAGCATTTGCCTCTTATATTTTTGTTTATATTTTACTCTCAGTCTATCTTTATATTTTAGGTGCACTTTTACAGTGGAATATAGGAGAGACTTAAAATAATTATGTCATGTAATTAACTTGTTACATTTAATAGCTGCATATATACTTAATTTTAAACTTGCATCTTATTATTTTACTATTTATCTCCATTTGTTCTGTTTCTTTTAATCTTCAATTTGCTTAGTGTTTTTATTCCATTTTTTCCTCTTTAGGAGTTTGAAAGTCCCATAGTTCTGTTATTTTGATTGATCTAGAAATTGCACCATAAATACATCTAAACTCAATATTTTTAATCTCCTTCTCAATAGTAGCTCTCTTTATTTCCTGCCAAACCATGTTATTGTTACTGTTTTGTAAAATCCCATTTGATACTATTATTACCATGCTTATAAAATTTATGTTCTTATTTCCAGTTTGATTTGTTCTATGTAGCTCTGTGCACCTAAGCCTCCCTTGTGGGTTTACAATAGGCCCTTCTCTCAGTGGGGAATATGCTTCCATATCCCAGGGGATGCCTGATATTGCAGAGAGCCCGACCTTTGTGCCCACAGGGCCTTGGCTGTAGGACACTGGTGTGAGTACTGGAGTCTGTGTGTGCTCGTGTCCCTTGTGTATAGTGGCATAGTATTTGCATACAGCCTATGAACATCTTAGGTATATATTTAAATCAACTGAAGATTACTTATAATTTCCATCCCATATTCATATTAGGTAAGTGGTTGTTATACTAATAATAGAAGGAAAATCAGTGCAGATGTAGTTTTCTTTTTCTTTCTTTTTTTTTTTTTTTTTTTGTGCAGTGCTGGGGATAGTACTCAGGACCTTGTGCTTGCCAGGCAAGCTTCTTTCAGAATATTTTCAATCCAGACTTGGTTAAATCCATGGGTGGAGAATCTGCAGAAGTGGAGGGCCAGGTGTATTGTTTTTTTCTATACATACATGGCGATAACCTATAAATTAGGCATGATAAGAGATTAGCAACAATAACTAATAATAAAATACAGCAATTATGATAAGAGCTAAATGAATATTGTCTCAAAAGAACCTACTGTGTTCACTCTTCCTGTGATAATGTGGCTGAAGTGGGGAGAATGGTGTAGGCATTGTGCTGTATATTATCCCACCACTTACCTTTTGTTGCTTAAGTCAGAAGGAGGGTCATTTGCTTCATGTAATTGTGGATCATAGAGATACGATAATGCTCATGGATCCCTGCTTGTTCAAAGCATTTCTGCTGAAATCTTCTGGAAGAGCATTGTAATCAGAAGTTGTCCTTTCTTGTTATCTCATCAGAGTGTTTCTGGAGAGGTTAATACTTCAGCAATCATACGGGTGGCTTTCACGCTGCATTCCACATAATTTTGTCCCTTAATGCTGTTACAATTTGGAATGTTTTGGCAAATTTTGGTAATGTTTTCATTGCTGGTTCTCAGTATCTTTCTCTGATGGTGTTTCTCCTCCTCCTCCTTCTCCTCCTCCTCTTCTTACTCTTCCTTTTCCTCTTTCTTCTCCCTGTGCCTCTTTCTCTCTTCTTTCCTCCTTTCTTTCCTTCTTGTTTTGAGATGAGACCTCACCTATTTCCCAGACTGGCCTTGACTTGTAATCCTCCTGCCTTTGCCTCCTGAGTATCTGGGAGTACTCAATTTCTTCTCTTTCTCCTTCCTCTTCATTTGTAGACGTCTGAACAGGTTCCTCAAATTCCTCATTTGTTAACAGTACTTGATGGTTGACAGTGGGTAACTGACCATGGGTAGTTGAAACCAAAGGAAAGCAAAACTTGGTCAAGTGAAGGAACACTGTGTTCGTTCGTTCGTTCTTTCTTTCTTTCTTTCTTTCTTTCTCCTTTTTTCTTTGATACAGGGTCTCACTATGCAGTTATGCAGTTCAGGCTGGCCTTGGGTTCACTTTGTTGCCCAGACTGGCCTCAAACTCATAATGATCTTCCTGCCTCAGCCTCAGGAGTGCTGAGATCACTGGTGCCACCATGCCTGGCCCTAAACACTGTACTTTCTTTCTGCTTAAAATCTGTCCTTTACACTTGTTAAGTGAAAGTTTCCTGGAGGCACACTTTCAATTTTTGCTTATTGAAAATATTTGATCTTGATTCTTTGGTACTTAACTAGGTTGGCGGTTACAGGTTTGGTCTCAGACTTATATTTTGATGTATGGTTGCCGTTATGATGGTGTGAAAGTGTTATGCATCCAGTAATATGTACTTTGAATTTTGAACTTTTCCTTGTCATACATGCTAATATATAGTATGACACCCTCCTGTGATAGCGGCAGTGGGCGTGAGCCATAGTTTCCAGTCCATCATGTAGTTGTGAGAGTAATAACTGATAACTCTACAGTACAGGAAAACTGGTGCTTGAAAGGTCCATATTGAGGATTGAGTCCAAGAGCACTCTACCCCTAAGCTACCTCTCTTTTACACATTTTTTTTTTCTTTTTTTGATACCAGGGATTGAACTCAGGACTTTACGTTTGCTAGGCAGGCACTTATGCCACTGAGATATCTCTCCAGCCCTAGAAAAACTTTTAAACGAAGTGTATAATACACTGAAAAGCAATACAGTGAAAGCACACTCATCATAAAATAGATATAATAAATTTTAAAATGGATCTGTATAATCAGTTCTCATAAAAGAAACAGTACTTACCAGTACCTTAAAAGCCCCTTTTATGCTCCCTTCAGTCATTATTTTTCTAGAGGAACCTGAATTTCTATGCCATAGATTAACAGTGCACTTTTGTACTGGTATAAATGGATCATAGGCCGGGTGTGGTGGTGCACACCTGCAATCCCAGCATTCCTGAGGCTAAGGCAGGATGATCATTGTGAGTTTGAGAGTAGCCTGGCTTCAAAGTGAGCTCAAGGCCAGCCTGAATTGCATAGCAGGACCCTGACTCAAACACACACACACACACACACACACACACACACACACTAATATAGGTACTCTTTTTTTTTTTTATTGGTGGAACCGAGCATTGAACTCAGGCCCTTGCACTTGCCAGGGAAGTGCTTATTCCACTGAGCCATCTCCCCGGCCCCTATATAGGTACTCTTGTGCTTGATTTTTTTCACTCAGTATTCTTTAAGAGACCCTTATTGTTGCATGTATTAATAAATCATTCTCATTGCTGTTAAATATTTTCTTGTATTAATAGTGTATAGTTTAAGAGTGATAAAAGGTACCAATATCTGTTGTCTCTATATGGTTTGAAAAGCTCTCTTGCTTTCACTTTGGTGTTCTGATCCACCAGTTTCTGTTCTAAATGCAATATGAAGGTATGGTAACTATGAGCTTGGATTAAAAGTTTTACAAGAAAAAAATATTGTATAGTTTATTCATCCCATTAATGGACATTTAGGTAGTTTTGGCCCTTACGAATGATGCCTCAATAAACAAAACATCTTTTTGGTAGACATGTAGCTGTATGTTGTTCTCTTGGGTTTTTAGTAGCTGTATGTGTGTTATATGTGGATGTCTTTGCTTACTTGTAGAAATTCTGTTTGTTTCTTCTTTAAATCTGCCATGCCACTGTTTATGGTTTTCTGTTCCCTTCAAACCTCTTCAAACTCACCTTGTTTTCTTTAAGCATACAATTCATGTTTGATAAGTACAATATCTATAGTTTGGTTTGTTTTGGTTTTTGTTTTCTAGTTCTTATTCATTATGCTCTACTTCCACATGTATCATTTATTGTATTAAAAAAGTATTTGAAAAAATAATTGGAGACCTAGGTTGAAGGTGCCTTTCGGTAGAAAGGATTTGCATTTGCTACCACAGGGAGTCCAGGGACTACTTTAAATGTATAGGCTGAGGTTTTTGGGGCATATTCATTTGATGTGAATTCTTAATGCAAGCCATGTGAGGGCTAATTATTTCTAATTCATCTTTTTGGATAGCCCTGAGTATACAGTCTTTTGGGGCTTATGCTTAATGGGAAGAGGATCTCCTATTAGACTTACCACTTTGGATGAACCCTGAACTTTTAAATTTGTCCCCTTCATATTGTGAAGTTATTCAAACCAGAGTTCAGCATTGCTTGACTTGTCACATGACTTTAGGATAAAAATATCTGCAGTTTTCCACTTACCTTAATGTTTCTTTTTTAGTTTTAGTTTTGGTTCAGTAATTCTTTTCTGTAGTTGTTTGTTTTCGAGACAGAGTTTTGTTATGTAGTCCAGGCTGACCTTGAACTCTGTATGTGTCCTAGGCTGGCCTTGAACTCTTGGCAGTCCTCCTGCCTCAGCCTCCCAACTGCTGGCACTACAGGCCTGTGTTCTATACCCAGCTAGTAATTCTTTACTCTCACAACTCTCCAGAACTACATTTTGAGATCTAACTTAGCATTTAAACATTTTTTTGGGGGGCAGGGTTGGTATAAATTAGCCCATGAATGAATGAATATTAAGGGTATCTAGTTCTTGATTTGTATTTTGGAAAAATATCCTTGGCTGTTATATGAACACTGTTGAGCAAGTTGGTAATTAATGGAGAGGCAGAGGGAAGAAACAGGAGACTAGTTAGGAGTCTGTTATTGTTAAAGTGAGAAATAAAAATAGCTTAGATCAAGGTAACACAGAAGAGAGAGGCAGTAAGATTTGGTGATGGACATGGAAAGGGACAGAAATAGGAGGCAAAAATGTTTCGCGTTTTTTTCATGATCAGGTTTAAAAGTGGGGTGCTTTTTTTTTTTGGATGGAGAAAGCTAAGAGGAGCAAGTTTAGGGAGATAAATGAAGAACTCCAGTTGGGAAATGTATGTTTAAGATGCCTGTTGGGCATCCGGTGGAGTAGGAAGTTGGCAAGAGGTGTCTGGAGTTCAGCATAGAGGTCTGGACTGGAAATACATACTTGTGAGTCATTAAGTAGACTGGTGACTTAAAGACCCAAGAATGCATGTGTTCACCAGGGACAGGGAAATAAGCAGAAAAGAGAATAAATTTAAAGTTTGAGGAATGGGATATCCAGTGTTTAGAGTTAGTTACTTTACTTATTTATTTTGGTACCTGGAATCAAATTCAACACCTTGTGCTTGCCAGGCAAGAGCTATTCAGTCGAGCTATATCCATGGCTGAGAAGGGGGTTGGTGAGTGAGGTGGAAGCCCCACGAGTGCACCGCCCCAGAAGCCAGGAGCAAGTGTCTCAAGGAGAGAATAATCAGCCTCCTGCTGCTGTAAAGTTAAGTGCATTTTTTTGTGAGCTGAACATTGATCATTATAGGTGGAAAGTAGTCTTTTATAGAGGTAAGTTTAATGAGAGCTCATTCAGAGAGGTGGAAATAAACGTCAGATGGAAGGTGAGTTCAAGAGAGAATGATGGGCCAAGGAGATAGCTCAGTAGAACAAGCACCTACCTGGCAAGCACAGGATCCTGAGTTTAATCCCTTGTACTGAAAGAGAGAGAGAGAGAGAGAGAGAGAGAGAGAGAGAGAGAGAGAGAGAGAGAGAGAGAATATGATAAGGGAGAAGTGGCAGTGCCAATGTGGACAACTCATAAGTTAGCTGCAAAGGGGAGCCAATTAATGGGTCCCTATTTTCTGGTAGAAAGGAACATGGGGATGAGGTTAATCAAGAATAATTTTTTAAAAGATAGAACTATCATAGTAAGTTTTTTTCCTGGTGAGGGTGTTCCTCTAAGAGAAGAATTACTATGGAGGACAGTGCAGGAACAGAATGGGGAAATGGGATTTGATGTGCAAGCACAAGTCACAGAGAGCAGCACAGACATTTCACTCAGAAGAGGAGTAGGTTCAAGTTTATGTGCCCTGGGACTGAGAGAGGTAGTACTGGGGTAATGCTTTTATTTTCTGCAAGAAGCAAGGTCATGATGAGAGTTAGATGAGAGCATGGAAGAGGCTTGAAGAGTGAAGAATGGTGGGCATGCCATTTCTTTTGTAAAGAAAATATGGTCACAGTCAAATGGCTTAGAACTGGAATAATTTAAACATTTGAAAACTTCCTTATAGTGATTGCCTTAAAAGATTCTTCTCTCTCTCTCTCTCTCTCTCTCTCTCTCTCTCTCTCTCTCTCTCTCTCTCTCTCTTTTTCCGGAACCGGGGATTGAACTCAGACCCTTGCACTTGCCAGGGAAGCACTTATTCTACTGAGCCATCTCCTCCCTGGACCCCATAAAAGAGTCTTAAACAGAAATGCCATCCCTTAAACTCATATAAATGACTTTCACAAAGTTATAAAAGTATTTACAAAGGATCTTTGGCAAACGGAAGGAAAAAAGCCTCCTTTTTCATAATCCATATTCCTACCACTGAAGCCTAACCATATTCTTAGGATCCTTGTGTTTTTCCTTGAATGCTAAGATGCTTTTTTTCCCCCTCATATCAGGGATTGACCTCAGGAGCTTGTGCTTGCCAGGCAAGAGCTCATGCCGCTGAGCTATATGCCCAGCCGTAGAACAGCTGAAATCATGTTTTCTATACAATTTATCCTTCTGTGCTTATCAGCTAGTCCTGTAAATATTTTTCCATGTTATTGCACAGTTTTCATGGCCATCAAGTGGTTGAGTCACAATTTCAACAATATCCTATTGTTGGACATTTAGGTTAGCAATTTTTAGTTAGTCCATATAATTATTTTGAACAAATGTTCCTAAGAAATTCATTGTGTGCCTATCTTTCATTAGTTGATCAGCTGTATTATGTTTTTGAGTTGTATAATATAGAGAATAATTCTGGTTTGATGTTTCATTGTAACTTCACAGTCACACTGTGTTAAAATAGATTTTCTTTCCTAATTTGACTAATTATATGCTAGGTTTGAAGTCAGCACAATGTGTGTCCTGGCTGTTTTGGTACAATTTGGAATGTAATTCTAATCTTACACCAAATTTTAGAGTGTATTTTCAGGGTGGGAAAAATTGGTACAAATTCCCTATGGTGAATATGAGCACTATGTAAGGCCAATATGGACTAATAAACAAATTTTAAAAACAAAGTCAGAAATATTACATATTTTAATAGGTTGATCCGGGGATTAGTTTTGGATCATGGTGCCCGTCATCCAGATATGAAGAAGCGGGTTGAAGATGCGTTTATCCTTACCTGCAACGTGTCACTAGAGTATGAAAAAACGTACGTGTTCGCTTCTCCCGCTTTTAGCTTTGGCTCACTTTTTTTGCTGGCTGCGCAGGTTGACGGGTTTCATTTCGGCAGATTCATACATGCACATAGTGTACTTTGTTTGCATTTCACTCCTCTTGCCCTCCTCCCCAGATGCACATTTTATCAGGGGGTTCAATATATAGTGTGCATTTTTCCATATCATTTCTCTTTATGACTTTTGAAAATTTTTTGTTTAAAAGGGTTTGGAAACTTTTTCTCCTCCCAGATGTTTAGTCTGGACTTCTAGCTCCCCCACTTTTTTTCTCTGCCTTTGCTAGCTTGTTTTTCATTAACTTTCTAGAGAGGTGGCCTCTGGTTTCTTTTATAAGACTGCAGAAGAGAAAGAGAAATTGGTAAAAGCTGAAAGAAAATTTATTGAAGATAGAGTACAAAAAATAATAGACCTGAAAGACAAAGTCTGTTCTGGCTCCAGTAAGGAATTTGTTGTCATTAATCAAAAGGTGAGAAGGCTAACTTAGATTTTAATTATTTGTAAGGTATCTTCAGCATTCCTCAAAGTGAACCCCTGGAAGTCCCTAAGACTTTCCAATATCTTCAGTCAAAACTAATGTAATATTAATTATATACCTTTTACACCTTTTTTTTTGATGTTGCAATGATACTGCAAAAGCAATGATAGGTAGAACTGCTAGCAGCTCTGTACAAGTAAGGCAGGAGCACCAAACTATGCTAATAGTTGTTCTTTATTGCCAAACCACCACATGCTTGTAGGTAAAGAAAAGTTTCATTTAAGAATGTCTGGATGAGGCTGGGGAGATGGCTCAGTAGAATAAGTACTTCTCTGGTAAGCACAAGGGCCTGAGTTCAATCCCCGGTTCCACCAAAAATAAATAAATAAATAAATAAATAAATAAATAAATAAAAATTTTAAAAAATAATAAAAATGGGCTGGGGAGATGGCTCAGTGGAATAAGTGCTTCCTTGGCAAGCTCAAGGACCTGAGTTTAATCCCCAGTTCTGCAAAAAAAAAAATTCTGGATGAGGTGGTAAAACTAATTTTATTAAATATTATTCTTAAGTATGCATCCTTTTATAATTCTATGTGGAAGAACATGAGGCAGAGACAAAGCACTTCTGCTGCACAACGATGTGATGATGCTCTAAAGGAAGAGGCATGCAGAATAGAGCTGTGAGCTACACTAGCCATTTTTTTCATAGAAAGCCATTTTTGCTTGGAAGTATGACTGACAGACAAATTATGGTTATTTAGATTAGGTTATTTGGTAGGTTCTGTAAAATGAATCAATCTTATCACTTAAGGAAAATACCTGAGAGTATTTTCTGTGTATGTAACATCTGAGCCTAATTCAGTGAACCAATATTGTGTGAAGGACTGATAAGTGTATGATTTTATAAAATAATGCGTGGATAAATAATCTAATTATAAGACCAGTGGATTTTCATGTGAGGAGTCTGCAAGGTCATTGGTAGGATGCAGTATTCCACAAGAATAGCCATTGCAAAGCTATGTATTACTTGTTGAGTTTTAGTGTAAACATACTGTGAGAGAAGCATATCTAGAGTTATCTGAAAAAGCTATTAAAAGGCTCCTTTCCCAATTTATCTACACAAGGGCAGATTTTCTTCTATAGTTGAGCCAAAACACCATATTGTATCAAATTAAGTAGAGGACTGTATATGAGAGACTTTACCTGTTTTAAATCTAGACATTAAAGAGATGTACAAAATTATAAATCACTTGCATATAGATTTTTGGAAAACATAGTAAATTTTCATTTGAAATCAATATTAACATAAAATGGGTTTATTGTTACTTTAAATGTATTAAAATTTTAAAATCTTCCTAGTTTTAATTTATGATGTTATATATATATATATATATATTTTTTTTTACATTTATTTATTTGTGTGTGTGGCCGTGCAGCCCACCAGGGGGCGGGGCTGGCTGGCATGTAGTGCTGGGGGATTGAACCGCGGTCCCTGTGCTTTGCTAAGCTTGTTCTAAGTAGGTGCTTTAGACCACAGAGCCATCTCTCCAGACCTATGATGTGATAATATAGATATAGTTCATGTAAGCAAAAGTTCCTTGGGGTCTTCATTTTTTTTTTTTTTTGCTCCGAATGCCTTCAGGGCAGGTTGGGGTCTTCATTTTTAAGAGGATATAGTAGTGCTGAAACTATAAAGCCTGAGAAATATTGTTTTAAGATTTATTTGTGGTTAAGATTGTGGCTCAGTGGTAGAACATTTGCCAAGTATGTGTTCAGAAAGAAAAGCAAAAAGTAAAAACCAAAAGAAGATATGTTTATAATTTTTATGTTAATTTGATTGTAGGGCATTGATCCATTTTCCTTAGATACTCTTGCAAAACATGGAATAGTAGCTCTTCGAAGGGCAAAAAGAAGGAATATGGAAAGGTAAGCTTGAAAATTGTGTATCCCGAGATTTTTAACAGATTAAATTGAAATTTTCCCATGTGTATTCTTTTTAGCTTACTAGTAATTCTTACTGAGCAAAAAGTAGTATACCAATTTCAAATTTTGTTCTTAACTTCAGTATGTAATTAAACTGTCAAAGATTAAGGTTATTAACCTATTTCAGAATTTTGTTGAAGTATTAGGAAGTTTTCTTTCTGTTTAAAACAGATCTTAAAAATATAATGCTGCATGGTCTCATTTATATATGGAATCTAAGAACGTGGCACCCATAGGAGTAGATAAGAGAATTGTAACTACCAGGGGATGAGACATTGGGGCAGTTGAGGAGTTTAGGAAATGTTCAAAGGATGCAAAATTTCTTTTGCATAAGAATAAACAAGTTCCAGGATTTGTTGTGTAATGTGGTGACAATAATTAATAAAAATATACTGTTGTAAAAAACTAAGAGAGTAGAGTTAATGAGACTGGATGTGGTGGCGTGTGCTTGTAATCCCAGCATTTGGGAGCCAAAGAACAGGAGGATCACCCTGAGTCTGATCTTCTTAGTGAGACCCTGTAGGCCCTGTGCTGAGAGAGAGAGAGAAAGAGAGAGAGAGAGATAGAGAGAGAGAGATTGAGATTTAAGTGCTCTCACTACAAGAATGATAATATGAGAAGTAATACATATGTTTAATTAGCTCAGTCTAGCCATTCCACTGTCATGTTGTACCTAATAAATATATACAGTAACAATGCAGTCCTCTGTGTTAATTTTTTTATCTGTAAGAAATTAACTTCTGTATTTTTCATAACTGAAGTTACAGTAACATGCATGTCATTTCAGACTCACTCTTGCTTGTGGTGGAATGGCTGTGAATTCTCTCGCGGACCTTGATATAGATTGTTTGGGACATGCCGGCCTTGTATTTGAGTGTATATTAGTGAGTACTTGTGTGACTGACTAGTGGTTATAATATGAGCACTAAGCCTTTTTATTATAAAACACTAACCTTTTAATTCACATTTTGTATTTGGAGATCTGACTAATCTATAGGACAGACTTTATAATTTATTTATCTAAATATTAAGAGTTCAAATGTAACTTAACTACTTTAAAAAAAATTGGACCTAAGTTTAATTATGTGAGATCAGCAGATGACAAGAGGTAGTAAATGAATGGAAACAGTGCTTACAAACTTAGGACAGAGGTGAGAACTTTCAGGATAGTTTAGGTTTAGATATTCACCAGACTGGAATTTTTTTTTTTAACACTGAAAATAAGACTTTTGCCACAAACCCCAAAACATATTAAAACTGGTTCCCAGGGCTTTTAAAACATACAGTAAATTTGTGTGTGTGTACGTGTAGTAACACTGGGACCTTCACTCAGAACTGTTTATCCCTGGCCCATTCATTCATCCATTCATTTATTTATATATTGGAGATTGAACTTTATACTGAGCTATATCCTTAGCCCTGGTTTTCTTGGCGGCGGTGGGGGTGGGGGTAGGGTCTTACTAAGTTGCACAGGCTGGGCCCAAACTTTCCATCTTTCTGTGTCAGCTTCCCAGAGTTCTGGGATTACAGACAGGCAGGTGCCACCAAAGCCACCTTTTAATATCTCTTTAAATGTCAAATATTCTGTAGTGAATCTATTAAACATGCTGTATTTCATTTTGGGACTTAATTTATATATCTTACTGCTCCTTGTATTGGTGACCAAGACACCTTGCTCTAAATTCTAGTGCACTGATGGTGAAACTTTTAGAGCTGTCAGTGATACAAGAGGCCTGCTGTGGCACGTGTGCTTTAGGTTTGCCACCCCTGTCTTAATGGCTCACATCCTCCCTTTAAAATGTCTAAGTATCTTTTTGTTAAGTTGCCATTTTCAAAGATTTGCTGGAGAGGAACCAGGGGCATGGCTTAGTGGTTGAGTGCGTATTAGGGCCTAGGTTTGATCCCTTAGTACTTCAAATAATGTAAAGAGAGGGAAGGAGGAAGGGAGGGAGAGAGTCTGAGACTGAACACTATGAATTTAACAGCTATGAATTCTTCTTCACTTCTGTTGCAGTGTAGGAATTTATCATCTGGCCCTTAGTAGTCTACCAGTTGAGTAGGGCTTAGTTTCTTATTTTCTGCAGAAATAGCTGGATGCAATTCATAAAGCAGCAGCTGACTACAGCTTCTCCGCTTTTTTATCAACAGCTCTAACTGTGACAGGTCATTCTTTGATCCATACATTTTGACTAGTTTTAGCCTCAGAAGGAGGTCTTTCTTTTCCTGCACTTGCTTCACTAATTTTGCTTTTTCTTCCTTTAATCCTTGTTTAAGATTCTTATTTATAAAATCATTTTGGGGAATACTGTATGACCCAGTATCAAGCAACTTAGATTCACAAGCACTGATATTCTTGAGAGTACTTTTCAAGTATGTATGTTCTTCAGATTCATTATCTATGTATTCTTTTTTCCTTCTCACTGTCTCTGTGTTTAAAACTTTCTTGAAACTTCAGTTTTCTTCCATTGAAGATGCTGGTTACTCTAAAAAGGTCTCATCATCTTTTCTTTTCTTTCTTTTTTGTATTTTAGTACAGTGTCTACAGGGTCTACACAGATCGTACTTGTAGTGATCCTCCTATTTTCAGCCCCCCAAGCACTGGGATTCTAGTTGCACACCACCATGCCCAGTCTCAGTCAAGTCTCAGTGACCTGGGGGCAGGGCTGGCATGGCATGACAGGGATCTAACCCAGGTCCCTAAGTCTGCCTAAGGTACTTTAATTTGCTGAGCTATCTGGCTGGCCCTGATCATTTTCTTCATTCTTTGGGTTTCTTTTTTAAAATTTTAATTATTTTTTATCTTTTACTTTTTTCATTTTGTGTATTTGGTACAGGGTCTCACTGCACAGCTCAGACTCTAGGTAATCCTTCTGTTTTCAGTCTCTCCAGCACTGGATTATAGGCATGCACCACCACACCTAGACTTGTTTGCTGGCCCAGCATAGGACCGGAGATTGAACCCAGGTGCCTGCACTTGCCTAAGCAGGCACTTTATTCTGTTGAGCTATCTTGTTCATTCTCTATTTTAAGACATTTTACTATAATGCAATGGGAATTAAATGAAAACTTTGTTTTCCTTAATCTATCTTTAAGTGTTGCACTCATGGGCTAGGGAGGCTGAGATAGGAGGATCAGTACAAGTCTGAACTGCACAATGAGACCCTGTATTCCCCCCAAAAACAATTAAATTATAATATAAGCTAAATCTTTATTTCATAACTTTAAATATTTATTTTTTTTCTTTTTTCATTCTTTTTTTTTTTCCCACCGCTAGTGATCAAGTCCAGAGCTTCATGCATGTAAGCAAGAATTCTACTAGAGAGTCGATCCCCAGCCCTAAATCTGTGTCTTTGCATGTCATCCTTTAGGGTGAAGAAAAGTTCACCTTTATAGAGGATTGCATTAACCCTCGCTCTGTCACTTTGTTGATCAGGGGACCAAATAAACATACTCTCACACTAATCAAGGATGCCATAAGAGATGGACTTCGTGCTGTCAAAAATGCCATAGAAGATGGTAAGCTCTTTTTCTGTGATGGTATGAACTTCACATGTTTTGAAAGTAAAAATCAGTTGTTTGGTATTTTAAAATATGAATGGTCAGGTATGGTGGTGCACAGTCTCCTGGAGGGTGGGGCAAGAGGATCTCAAGTTAGAGGTCATCCTGGGCAATTTAGCATGGCCCTGTCTCAAGATAAAAAAGTACTGGAAATGGACCAGAGATGTAGTTCAGTGCTTTTGGATTCAATCCCTAGCCATGAAAAAAAAAAAAAAAAAAATCCTCTTTCATTTTGCTTTACACAATTTGCAGCTTGGATTGTAAAGGGTTTTCTATGCAATATATATATATTTTTTCATTTTTTTCCCAAAATTTTATTGATAAACTGCAATGAGACAGTTTCAAATCAAATCGGAAGTACAGTTTCAACAAATAACAGACTGCATATATTCTTCTTAGTGGTTAATTGCTGTACAAGATGCGGACTTGAGATCCTATTTACAAACACCATT